AAACATTGCTCTCGTGTGCAGCAAAGTGCCACTTTCACCACTAGTTACACAAATAACTATTCTCGGCCGTAATCTACAGCGCCGAGTGGTTTTCCGACCTCTGTGGAGATAGTGAAACACGAGAACTTGAATGGTGGCTGTTTAGTTGTGGATCCATGGGTGGAGTACTCGGGTTATTAGGCGGGTTGGAATTTTGCCTATACATCGCACATAGTTGGTTCTGTTCCTTGGTAGGGTGATTCTGATTATATTTGTAGTTTTGGCCATAGTTCCGGTCTGGGTAGTGGTCACGCTGATATGGTTTGTAATCTCGGTGCACCCGTTGGTACTGTTGGGACTCATTACCATTGTTTCTGTTGTATCGATAATTTTGTTGATTCCTATGATGTTGGTTGTTCTGTGCATAGTTATCGCTGTGTTGGAAGTTCTGGCGGTTCATCTTAGGCACGTAAGCTTGTTGGTTACTAGATCGATCATGGTAACGTTGCTGGTTCTGTATGTTAGGGCTAGACGGTCTGCTGTTCTGGTGACTGTTGTTGTAGCTCTTAACTTTCTTCGGTCCGTCTCGAATGTCATCCTTCTGTAGAAGTCGTTCCATGGCTCTTATTGTGGTGATATTTTGCACATTAACACTGTCCTGGATGATTGGATCGAATCGCTCTGCCAATAATGATACGATCTCCTCTTCACTTAAACTAGGGGAGATGGATTGCAATAAAAGTACTCGTTCTGTTAAATATTCCGTACGGCTCAAGGTTCCATTAGCTCGATATTTTTCAGACTCAATCTTGGCTTTTATTCCTCTTAGGACGGCTTGACTCCAATATTTGCACTCAAATTCCTTAGCAAAATGGTCCCAATCAAGAATGTCTGATCTGATTAGTTGCAACCATCGGGATGCGGGTCCTTCAAATGACGTTTCCAATAGGTCTTTAAGGTATTCGGTTTGATCGCAGTTCATATTCTTTTCGATCCCTCTCTCGTAATATCGCTTAAGTTTGCGCAGATATTCCATTGGGTTACCGCTTCGTCCATTAAATTTCGGCAATTGACGATCATTGTTCTCATTACCGCTACAGATTACTTGAATCGCACCTGTTTGTCCATTTATTGGGTTATCTTGCTTTAAGTTGTTTACTACAGACTCACATTTGATTAAATTTTGGTTAAGAGTTTGAATTTCGAGCTGTTGTGTTTCAATTAATCTAGTTTGTAGGGTGATTTTAGGCAATACTTCATTTTGTAGGGCAGTTAAATTTATTTTTGAGTTACGTTCATTGTCAAGTTGTGTTTTAACTGTGATTTCTTCTATTTTCTGCTCAAAATTAGATTTATGTTCTTCTAACTGTGATATTACGGTAGAGATTATTTGTTCTTGGAATTTGTTCTGCTCTATTTCTGAATTAGATTGTTGTTTTGATATGCTATTAACAACAAATTGCTTCAACTGATTTTGAGAGTCTTCGATTTTTAACATTAGCCGATCGTTTAATTTAGCTGTTTCTTCAGTTAAAATACTTTGTGTTAATTTTATGGCATTTATTTCTGACTTTATTTCAATTTGACTTTCTCTAGTTTCACGTTTTGTGATTCAAATGCGTTTCTACAAGCTTGGATTTCTTGGTAGGTTTCGTTTATTTTATTGTTAAATGTTTGAATTAGTTTAGCTTCAGTTTGATTAATTTGCAGTTTTGTTATTTCTTGGATTTCCGATTTAGTTTCACGGATTTCTGACTTTAATTCTGACTTTAGTTCAGCACTGGTTTGTTCAAACTTATTACTCAAGTTGGTCATAAGGTTAACTAACATGTTCATATCGATTGTGGGTGTCTGTACTGGAGGATTTGTGACGTTTAATTCATCAGTTGAAGTGTCGGAATGAGTAAGGAGCTCGTGATTCACATTATGAACGGACTGAGACTGTGTTTGAATTATATCAGCTGTTCGACGGCTGTCTGCAATATCGTATATCACATTTGTCGAGGTTCGGGAAACGTCGTTTATAAGTCCGGCTGCATTCGGCACGACGGCACATTTGTGTTTTTGGTCGGTGGCGTTTCGGCTAGAAGAGGCAGTTCGTTTCGGCTAGAAGAGGCAGTTCGGGTGGCGGAACAAAGCCGGTTAAAGTCGAATGATCAACGCTGTCTGATTGGTCAATGGATCCGGTGAACGGTTGGTGGTCGTTGCAACTTGAGGCTTCTTCTCGGGTTTGTTGTTGTTCTGCTCGTTGCTCAAAATGGCTGCCGTGTGTTCTGTCATTTATGTCATCGTCGGCGTCGTCACTTGAACTCGACATTCTATTCAGAGACGGGTAGTTTCGTTTAGGCCGTAAATTATATTTATTTTCCGACATTTTAATGTAAAATGTGTTAGGTCATGCGTGGTTATTAAATATGCGATGTTGTTGTGTTGATTATTTTGGGAAACAGGGGCAATTACGGGACAAATTAACAATGCAAACTCTTAAATCTAACAAACTTATAGGCTAGTTATGGTGAGAATTGCAATAAAGTTAATGAGCTATTCAAGCCAACACATTGGTGCGCCAATTTGTAAACTTACCTTAAAATATTCATTTTAGGCTAGGCCTATTCTACAAATGTTTAAAGTTAATAAGTTAACAAAGATATGGATTACAATATGTGTTTTATTTAAACAAATGAACAATTAACATGCAATGAGAAAAGGCTTGACGTTACAATGAAAAGATTGACAATGGTGTATGGGGTTGAAATTAAATTGAAATAAAAATAAATTTGAATAATAACTTAAAGGTTCAAATAATTTAGATGTGACATCTCTCAGGGTAGGGTGTCGTGCTGGCTTGAATGCTGATAATTAATAAATTTAATAGCGTCCAAATAGGCCTAATTAAAGTGTTAAATTTACACAATCTCAACAATGGAAAATCTAATTTTGGTGTTGTCCAAAAGGTAAGTCCAATTAGTACAAAATTTAAAAGAGTTTAAAGAAAAGGTTATACTTAATTTTGAAGATAATGATTGAGTTGAGTCCTCTTGAGGTTTAGGCTAAAAAAAAAACTGTGATATAACTTGAAACTGGTCTTCTTGATGAATGAATTTGATTTAGGTAAAATTTTGAGTCCTTCTTCTAACAATTTCAACTTCTCAATGGCTTCCTTCTCTCTCAATTTCAATGTTCACATCACTGATTGTTGAACACATGGGATCACTTTCACTGCTTCTTAAATTTTGATTCCTTAAGGACTAATTTTGAAATGATATTATAAGAAATTTTGATGTATTGCAATTCTCTTACATATTTAATAAATAATTAGGTTGTGGGTATTGTAAAAAAAAAAATATAGGCTATGGAATGAATATTATTAATGATTAATTGAACATATTAATGAAATTATATAAATTAGGAAAATGAATATTAGGACAGTCTTTCTGAGGAGTGATTATTAGGTGTATGAATAGCAGTTAACATAAAAAAAAACTTAATACCAAATAATGAATGAAATGAAATGAAATATTACATCAGTGCAATCAAACACTAACAGAAATTAAATATTTTTAACATTATGGTGTAGCAGAGTAATATATGTACGTAGAGCTCATAGTAATGTAATGCAATAATACAAATACAGGCCTACCTTAACTTTTTACCAACCTTAAACTGTCTGTATTAATTTGTTTTTAGCGAATTTCCCGTATAGGGAAAAAGCTATTACCGTAGGTCTCATTGTAAGACCTGTACCCGGGACCGATTTACTTTTTCACTCTGAGGTCCCCTTGGACAAAAACACCATCCGTTAAAATTCTTACGGTATGTATATATTTTTATTTATTTATTTATGTGTCCGTTAACTCGAGCAAAAATGGTCCGATTTTGATCAAATTTGGTATAAACGTGTAAGCCTACATTTATTTGAGAGAGTTTATAGGGGGGAAAAGGGGTTTTCCACCCTGAAAAGATAAAATTTTGCAATTTATTTTCAAAACATTTTGTAGAGCTCAAACAAGCAAATAATTTAGTATATTTAAGCATTGTTGTATGCCTATCAGTTACGGAAAAATCCCAAAAAAGTGTAAATTTAAATTGCCATGTTATTCTTATGGAGAATAAATAAACTGTTTTAGCTTGCTTGTCTATGGACATGTTTTAATGAAATTTGGTCATTTTGTTGACTTTATGCTAAGCTATCAATATTCTTTTAATCCCTGTTTTCTTCCTTGTATCAGCACACCTAAGTACTCATTAAAATTTATAATATTTAAATATGAAATAAATCTGACAAATTTAAGGAAACAATTTAGAGGAATTTCAGGAATGTAGATGGTATTTCGTTTAATTTGCAGGTTTGCATGCGGTTGGCGTATTTTACTTTAAAATGGTTTTAAAAATTAACAAATGTGTCTGTAAGTAATACCCTTACCACGGCAAACCTACAGAATAAGCTAATTTTTAATTTTCTTGTCAGATTTGAACTTAAATATTTCCTTTAACTTATCAGATTTTCCCTAAATAATTTTAGTTTTAACGAGTACTTAGGTTTGCAGCCATAGTAAAGGTCATAAAGTCTAATTTTCGTGAAATATAGGTTTTTTTATAAAATAAATAAATGTTCTATATCCATATACAAACAAACTAATACAGTTTAATTGTTCTCCATAAGAATAACGATAACATATTAATTTTCAGTACAACAACGCATCAATATACTAAACGATTGAATTTTTAAGCTCAAAAATTTGTTTGAAAATAAATTGCAAATGTTATGATGTTTAGATGGTAAAATATGGAGAACACCTATTTTTACCTCCATTAATTTCCTATTTCTGATCATGCTGGTTCGTGAACTCGTCGGAATAAACGTAGGCTTACACGTTTCAACCAATTTTCATCTAAATCTTATATAATCAAGGACTTAACAATATTTTAAAACAGGGTAATAAGAAGGTTTGTTGTGAGTTGAAAGCCAGTTGTTTCTTAGAATACGACACAATGGATATGCTAAATACAAGACTCATCAGTAAAACATGGCAAATGCATTTATTATTTATTTAACTTTTAAATATCTCCAATGATACTGTGAGGCTTTAATCCAATTGCTTTTTATTTCAGTAGTATGATGACTACCTCGAGCACAATCAAAATCTATGTTAAGCTTTTACTTGTTAAAACTCAATGTATCACAATCATTGTAATTGGCAGTACTGTAACTGTTATTTATATAAACGAAGTTTTATTTAACAATCTGTCTTTGCACGTGGGCTTCAAAACTAGTTCAAAGTCTTTTCAAGCCATCCCACAATACTTGTCCGGAATCCCATTGTAAGTGTTGGTCAAATACATCATATCCACTCCTAGCTCTGCCAATTTTATCCCCATATACTGTAGCTTCGCCGGCGTTTGTTGAGGTGCTGCAACAATAAAACTCGGTTAGTCCAAACTCGTTTAATTTGTACTACAAAAGTTCTATTTTAAATTAGAATGTTCAATGTACATGGTCGTTGTACTCTCGAGAAACAAGGTCTTCGGAAATACTCCACAAGACGAACTCCGACGCGTGAGTCCACATTATTAGAGACGGTGGTGTTTCTAAAACAAAATATGACCAATTACAAATGTTTACGGTAATTTTACTAGTTTCTGATAAGGTGTTTTAGAGGTTGTTAGTTTTGGAGAAGTTCCACTTAACGTGATTAATTTATTTTGTTATACATCGTACATAATAAATTTTTCTCTAAATATATACCACTTATTTTTTTTACATGTTATACCACATCATATAGTATTGAAATCGGCCAGTATCCTTTTCAAATGTAACTATGGTTCAGAAGAAATATTTATACAATTAAAAGCCTGATAAATACCTTTTTATGTCGAATATGTTAAAACTATTATATTGCTATTTTAAAATGTAACATTTGTTCTGTCACACTTGAGCTATACAAATTTCAATGCGGTTCATTTTTTAAAATATTTTTTCATGGTTAATGCTCTATATGCCAAAAGACGATTTCACTAGGCTATATTTCATTTGTGTAGAGGTATGATTGAGGCTTTGACTATGAGTCTTGTAGGGGACATTAGGTTATCTGTACTTTTAATCTGGATGAAGCAGAGCTAAGTAACCTTGAAAGGATAGGAGGCAGTGTAACGTTTCAATGATTTTGCAAATTATTTTAGTTTCCACCGGACTTAAAAGAATTTAACCAGCCTACTTGAATCTCGCTACTCATTTACCCTCCCTTTGGTAACTCCGTACTCATTAAATATATTAAATCATTGAAATAAAAATTAAATCTGGAAAAGTTTACTTACATTTCGTAAGTTATTCTCATCGAAGAACATCCGAGTGATTCCAAAAGAAGAACACATTAACAGTTTAACTTGTATGAAATTACGATAATGTTTTAATCCACGTATTATGGGAGATTTTAAACATAAAAGTCGTCGTGCAGCATATTTTATATTTATCACCGGTCCAGTTCTTGTGACAGCAAAAATATGTCAAGGGGCAAAAATGTGAGGATTACTGTAGTGTAGAATGTTTGCCAACGTGACAAAATCCAGGAAAATCTTTTAATAACCTTGGGAAAAATTCATCTATATCTATTGTCATTGTATCAGGTGATTGCTGTGGAAATTGAAACATCAGCTGTTCATTACATTTTTACAATATTTACAACATCTGTTTGATTGAATTAGGTAAAGAATCCCCGTTTGTTCACTATACTTGTTATAACGAAAGGTAAATACTTAAATTACCATTTATAAATCATCTTTCCATATAGATTAATCACAGATCTTTATAGTTATGGTTCATCTTAGATTTATGGAAAGTATGCGTCCAATACAGCTTGAGAGAAACCATGTATACATATTTGTTTACTGATAAAAAATTCTAAATAAACCTTTTCTTCTCTACTTTTGAAATTAAAATATGAAAGAATCATTTAACCTAGATTAGTGGCACGTAACACACTCCAAAACGATCTTAAAGTTTGAAAATAGAATGAGAATTCAACTCACCAAAGTCAATACTGATTTCATAAACAGAAGTTACAATGTATTTTGACTCATTGACTTTAAAAACCAAAATAGGTGAACGTGCTTATTATCGCAAACACAATAGTCCATTACTTCTTAAAACCCTGCGTCATTTGAGATGAACATATGGAAAGTTTAATGACTAGTTCCGGGTACTGTTTCATTACTGATGTTCAGTACAATGACATGACTACGTAATATACCATAGGTCATTGACAACACATTGTAAGCGTTTGGAAGTCGGGAAGCATGTTCTTATTTGATAACTTGCTTAGTTTTACTTTAATTTGATATTAAAGATGGAAATTATTACAATACCTGTATTTAAAAAGAATGACGAAGTTAAAAAGAACTTACTTAAAAAAATATCTTTAAACAAAGGCATGAGTGTATCTGTCTTATTCATTCGAATGAAAATGCATATGATACAATTATGATCTTGTTATTGTTTGCTTCGCTGGCAAATTTTACCAGCTATTCGACAACATATAACGATTCCACGTTATTATACTTTCCAAACAGGTTCATTGTTTGTTTTACTTTGCAAGATTTGCCAGTTTGTACCAAAATTATGTCTAATAAAGACTTTAAGCCACTATACGTAATGTTTTAGTAAAATTTAGCCTCACTCGCTTAACTTCAATAATAGGTAATTGTTATCTGAAATTAAATAAAAAAATACATCGAACAACGTTAAACTGATTATGAATGCCACTTTTTATTTTATAGCTTACAATAAAAGACATAAGGTATTTCGAATTATTAATCGAAATAACTATCTTATCCTTAAATTACCTGGGCAAATTTATGTTTGAACTAATTTACACTGGGGTAATTATTTTAATCTTATATTTTAATGTTTTTTTTTATGATCAAGACTTAAATAACTAATTTAAACTTAGGGGTTTTTTAAAGAGTCGTTCAAAACAAAATAAATATCCAAAGTAATGACCATTAAAAAATTCAGTAATCCTTATACAATAAATCTAGAAACAAAACAGTTATATAATAGGAAATGTTCTTACTTGTGAAGTTGCCGATGTATGCGATATCTATGCGATTTCCGTTATACTCGGGGTACATGTGAACATCTGATTGGTTATACCAACCCCGCCCTTCGTAGACTTTGCCGTTGCCTCCGATCAAGAAACTAAAAAATATGTAGGATAATGGTTATTTACTTATTCATAGAGAAAGAATGATTTCATCACTTATTCACGCATCAATCCCATAATACAAAAGAGTGCAATATTGTGCGGAATACCACCACTGATTTTAGCTTCCAAGGCTTTTAGCCCCGGCTTCCAATGGCTTCACCCTTTAATCATTGGGGTTGGGACTCCGGTTACACTGGTTGACTATGATTGCTGGATTTCTCAAAAACGTATACTCTAATATGATAGCGTACATACTGTACAGTGTACACCCTTGTAGATGGTGTCTGGCTTCCCCTGTTTTTAAGTTTTTCCTGCACCTATAGAACACTGCCTTATGGTTTTTGGTAGATGGCGGTCTTTAATGGATGTCTCAACAACAAAAACTTAAATGATAGCCTACATACTGTACTTACTTGTGGATTATGGCTTTCTGGTTTTTCCCTGATCTTAGTTCTTTTATGCAGGTCTGGAACACCTCACAGTTTAGATGTGCCTTGTTTCTAGTAGATGATGTTACTTATGTTACTTACTGTGGATGCCTACTCTGATTTTGTTATTTACTGCCTACTGAGAGTGTTATTTTCTACTCTCTCAGTCAACTTTACTTACTTGTAGATAATGTCTGGTTTTCCTTCCTCCATGTCCTTTTTCTGCATATCCTGCACAGCCTTCGTACACTCCTGGTCAGATTCACAGACAGGGACGTCCAAGCTGTGCTGGTAGATGACGTTTTCTACAGGGTGTGTCACCAAAGGGATGTCAGCGAGCGGAGGCAGCGCGCGCCATTCGTCCCTCGATACCATAGATAGAAACATCTTTCACGAGCCTGAAATAAGTTGATTTTCTCATGATATTGCAAGTGGTATAGGTACCTAATGGTAATGTGGATGCAAATTCAATTTGTTTTCGTGTTAATTATCTTTGCAGGGTATCAATGTATTTAGGCCTACGTATTTTATTAATTTCAAACCTTTTTTCTAAAATTCTCAAGAATATTATCCGTACAAACAATGTTTAGGTTTTTAGACTCAACTAATGTATAGAGAGAGATAGGTAGCCGATCCAACATTGGGACAGTTTGAGTTCTTTTTTAATACTATGTATACTAGAGTGTTGTTAATAACAGAGTGTTGTCGATTTATATGCTTCAGTTCAATTGCATGGAGAATTCAACGACGTTAAGGTGATTTCTCTTAAAAAAATTACATTTTTACACCAGAGAAAATGTTATTGTTGTCAATTTATTTCTTATGATGACATCTTAACGTCTTTGTATGCATAATCAACATAGTGTATTCTTCATCATCAAAATCTGAAAACCACGCTATACCCATGATACGTAATACACTTAAATAGTGTACAAATATTCATTATTAACCGTTTCATATTTTAAAAATTAATACGATAAATAAGGCTCTGTACTTCTATCAACCAAAACCTCCGTCTGAAACCATCTATAATTGTAATAAAATACAAAAACTGCAGTATTGTGCAGTAAAACTGTTGGTTTGATATTTCTACTAAAGGTTTTACCTTGTCCAAATGTTTTTGTTCAATGAAGAACGTATGTTTGGTCATAATTCCTTGGCAAACCATTGATTTTACAAACTGCGCTATGTTCCCTATGATATTTAATATCTAGAACTTAAGGAATTAAGTTTTCATTCTGTGGCCATGACTACTTTGCGAAACACAGTTAATTTTAATACTTGTATCTAAATATGCAGCTTAACTCACCAAAATCAACTAAAAAAAGCAAATCTTATCTACTAAACGTTTTTAAACACATTTTATACAATTATGACAACCACAAAGATGTATCCCTATGTTGTAACATCCTTATGCAACGATATCTTCACTCGCATTGATAGTATTTCGATTATCTTATCACTGACTGAGTTATCTTCATTATTAAGATCACTATTATACAACACTAGATAAAATTCAAATTTTGATTATCATTTTGTGGTTGTACTATGAACTACTCGATTTATAAGTTATACAGTAGTAAAGATACTACGGTATTTAAAACTCATTTTATACAGCAAATGAACAATTTATGTCCTATTTGTTGAAGTTTTTTGGCCGAATCCTATACTAATAGCATTAACATATGATTTAGTCAGTTCCATTTAAGAATGGTTAATAGCTATTTACCTTACAAGTGTAGTAAGAGCGTTTTTACATCACGCAGGTGAATGTTGTGCAACGAGCGGAAGCGAGTTGCATAATTTACCGAAGTGATGTAAACACGCTCTTGCGTAACGTGTAACGTACAAGATTTTACCTGACCCGACAATATTCAGGAGGTTACGAGCAATATGCTTCATTATCAATTTCACTCATCTTCTAACAGTAACGTTCATTTACAAACAAAAGCTAGGTTAGGAAAATTCTTCAAAGCATAACAATAAAATTCAAACACACAGCTGATTTCTAGCGTTGAACGTCGTTGGCTCCATAGAGGTATATTTTTTTAAGTTATCCACTCAATGTTATTTAAATGGGTTTCATTACATCACCGAGTGAGTTTTTTCCAACTTTACATCACTCGAGAAGTAAGGAAGTTGTATACATCACGCTTGGGATAGGGAAGTTTAACATGGCGGGTTAGGTAAATAATGTTTATTTTCTGGCAAAAATCTTTATTTGCGTAACTAGTGGACGAGGTGGCACTTTGCTGCTAACATGAGAAATGTTTATGCAAGAGCCGTAGGCGATTGTAGAAAGTTTCTCGAGTGCAGCATAGGCATTTTGCGCTCGTGTTACACATTATATTTTTCCTACAGTTACTATAAATCATAATTAGTCATTAATTAGTCATTCAAACACTGTAAAACACGTTTTTAGGTTAGGCTAAATCCAAACATTGAACTAAAAGGGGAATGTTGCACCAGCTGATCGTAGTCATAATATCTTAAAGTGTTGCCAACTTATTTTCAAGTGTACACGGATAGTAGTGCAGTATGCGTAGTGTTCGCTGTTTTGTGTTGTTTGTTTGGAATACTGGTGTGCGCCAAAGTAAAAACTGTACGCCAAAGTAAGGCTTTCTGTACTATAATCTGTGTAAGATAGCCCACTTTGTCGGGTGCCTATAAGAAAACGCCATTTGTTTATGTTTATGATCCATATCGGTTCTTTTTTAAGTATTTGTGATAGTAACTGTAGGAAAAATATGCAAAGAGCCTTTGCTGAACTCGAGAGACTTTCCACACTCGCCTGCTGCAAAGTGCCACTTTGCACACTAGTAACACAAATTACTGTAGTGCAAACTCCAACTAAATAGCATATTACATTCAGCGCAGAACTATTGTAGTAGTTTTTATTATGACAATCTAAAGTATTAACTTAAACAAGTTTAACGTCATGCCAATTCAAAAATTGTATCAAGTATAACCGTACTTTTCGACATGAAAAGGAAACGTTTTCATCACCAAGAAAAGAAGTGTGCTATAACACAGAAAATAAAGTGGGAATCCAGCATTATTTGGGGCCATGCCAGTTGAGATCGTTTCATTAATAACAAACCCAATCTCTCTAAACAATATTGGCAACGGAATCAATACATTTTACTCCAGCGTCCGTTCCAGAATTGACTATAAATAGCTAAATCTTATTAAGTGTAGTGTGTTTTTTTTTACAAATTGTAAAATTACATATGGATAAAATAACATTTATCATGAATTTACTAAAAATTAATTATTGTTTCTTGACGTCGTTTCAAAAATTGTTCATTATTTTACTTGGCATAACACATAAGGTAAATAAAGGTAAAATAGTAAGGTTAAAATAACAGAATAAGTTAAGATTGGACCCAACTAAAAAAAGCTTAAAACCTTTTTTCATACAAAGTTTGATGTTAGCTCTTAAATGCTTGGAATGTTTCTCTAAGTCTAAGTAATTAAAAACAACCAAATACTAGTTTATTACTATTGCAATCATTTATTTATTGTATTAATGTACAATTTAAGTACTTCAAGTCTTTTCTTAGGTAAATTTTGAGTTATTAGTCCAATTTAAGAAGTTTCAGCATTTGCTTTCGTCGTCGGAGACTTGGAATTGAATTGATCGCTTGAGTGTTTCCCACAGAATCCCATCGATCCATTTCCGTATTTTAACCTTTTGTTGGTAATTATTGTATCGATTAGCTTGGAAAAGTGTCTTTGTAAGTTGAGTGGAAAATGCCAAAGACTCCCGCAAGAAGAGTCTCGTACCAGTATACTTCGCAATAGCAATTTTGACTGTGGCAAATACTTGCTTTGACCATGGTGAAGAGTAGAAATACAAGTAGTGCCTTGAGTAAATAGTCTCCGAATATCTTCACCTTGCTGAAACAAAAGTAACTCTTTACGATTGTGTTCTGTGGTTGTATTTACAAAAGGTTGCCAGATAAATCCTGAGAAAGGTAAGTAGCTTTTAATGGTTCGAAATTGGAAACAGCTGTCCTTGATCATTGGGCTTTAAATAAACTAGTTGTTACCATTGACTAATGGATACTCAAAGCTGTTGCCAACGGGCTTCACCCCGTTTGACTTCATAAGTTTAATAAAACTATTGATTGGTTAAGTTAAGAAATGAACTAAACAGAGTACAGTAATACAAACAAATAATCACACCTGATTTTAATAAGGTAATAAATTGAAAGAATAACATAGAAATATGTACAGTTGAGGTATTTTTAACAGGTGCCGTATATGGAAAGTTAACTTTATAAACGAATTACGACCTTAAAGGGTTAGGGTTGTGCTAGGTTTCTCGTCGTGACGAACATTTTAAGTATATGGTTTATGGGGGTGTGACTTGTAGTTTTCTCAAAATTTCATGGGTACCTACTTTGGGATTTTTATGGTTTATCCTGGCTAATAAAACAGCTGGTCATAGTCAAAACATCCATGCTTCACTCATATTTGGATTGAATAACGTTTGAATATTCCTCTTGAAGAGTTGATAAAAACTGCAGATAAATTTGCTGGACAAGTTAAGCCAAAGTTATCATTGTCATGTTTTGACTATCAACTGTAGTTTAAACATAGTTTTAAAAACCCTATGGTAGTAAATTGGAATGAGGAATTATTTTTTATATTCAGAATACTCAATGACTTATTGATGCGATGCGAATCTATTCCAATTAATAATATGTCTAAATCTGTAACATTGATTTAAAATTGTGTGATATGGTCTTATTTGATTGTTCTTAGATTGTCAATTTACGAAATCTGTGATTAACTTGTGCAAATAATTACAAAATCACAAAGTACAATAACTTCAAGTAGGAACAGAACGCAAAGGAGCAATCAATTCAGACCCCCTTGACATAAAACTTTAAAACTTGACATTGGAACTTTTTATCTAGTCTTAGTTACAGAAAATGAATACATGTCTTAGTTGGCACAGTTACATCTTTAATACCAACTGACTACCATATTATTGCTTACCTCACCTGGGCAAAGAAGCATTTTTAAGATCGATAAATTCCTCTTTCCTTTTCTCAATTTGCATTACAATGAGTTCATCCACTTTTAACCTCAATTCCCTTATTTTCTTCTCACAAACGTACGCTGTGGGCTCAACTATCGTTACTGACTTTTCGGTTTTTGGCTTTTCTGGATTCGTGTTCAAGATACTCTTCTTTCCAGAACCTTCTGAACGCATGGAATCACCACCACAAATCAGTGAACAATCATCAATACTCATTTTAAAATTTAAATTTTAAATTGGAGATGTTTGAAAAGAACATTATTTTTAACGTTCAAGTAAAAAATAAACATTGCAGATCCATCAGCTGTTTATAATAACACATTATGGAAAGGTGGAATGAAATTAATCAAGTGACTTGATTTGGTCGCGATGACTCTAAATAACTAAGGGTTAAAATGTAGCATTGAATATTGGTTGTTGTATTAATAGTCAAAGATTGTAGTTATTTTGAATAATCAAAGCACCAAGAAAACATAAAAGTTCTTGAAAAACATAGAGGAATGTCTCAATAAGTTTTGCTGAATATTTTGTGTTTCTTTACTTATACTTTAAAAAGCGTTAAGAATATATATGTAATCTAATTGCCGTTGATTAAAATACCAAATGTTTATTGTTATACAAAACTGAACAATTTATGCAACTCCCTAATGCCTATAGTTCTCAGTAATACTCGATTGCCATTGTTATTTCCCGATTGAAAGCTAAGCAGTTCCTGGAGCCCAATAAAAAGTATTCCGTATACCTAACTCTATATGAGTAAGTAAATGTATTAAGTCACTTTGCATCAGAATAGGAGTTTTTTTATTTGACTTTGATTCTTTCGAGTAGACGTTCCATTCTACCATACAGTTTGAAGCTTTTGAAGAGCATTTTATGTCGTCTTAAAGTGTTTTCCTTTTTTCAAAATCATTACTCGTAGTAGGCAGTAGTTTACAAATAAACTGTCTAAATAACAGAACACAACAACATATACAACATTCTGTTCTTCAGCCAATCCACAAAGAGTGTAGAATATAACAATGTAATAGACGAATCAATTCAAAATCCATTTTACACCGGATCCATAAACTAGTGAAACAGATTTGTTTAATATCTTAGGACTTATTTTGCTCTATTCCAGTTGTTACTTTTGTTTACATTAAAGATCACAGGACTATAGTAATTAAGTAATAGTTGTATAACGAAATATTTATCTCTTAAATTTACAAAAAAATTCTTCTTTAACCCTAAGCATTTTTACATATAAAATGTTAAGTGTCCTATCTTGGTGTTTTCTTTTTGAGGGTTGTATCTGGGATTGAAGGATCTTGAAAACTGTTATTTTATTTTATTAATTACAAAAGAATTTTCATGAGTTTATATTTTAACTTTTCCTTTTATAAATTTCCCAGATGAATCCTTACAGAGAATATATAAGTATTTCCTCAACAACCTTGATAAAAGTCAATGTTGTGCAATTGAATGAATTGTGCAAGTAAAGCATAGATAGACATGTGATGTTATATGACAAGAAAGTTGATATCTTTTTAGTTGCAACAGATGCAACTTCTTTTTGTCACTTAAAAACCTGCATTGGTCTGTTGCATGGGCTCAATGTTTTTTGTTTAACAACATAATACCCAAGCACTACTCTTATTTGTTCGTGGCATCGGTATCATCCTTTCGGTGATGAAACTGAAATTACATTGGACACAGAGTTCGCTAGGACACAAGAGTAGGGGTGGTTTGCTAACTTATGTTGATCCTGATTCCAAAACGGTTAGGACCGTTCCCTTTCAAAACGTCAAAATGCCACTGGCGTGGAAGCACACGAAATAAAAAATACCCCCGCCACAGCAAACCTGCAGACTAAGCGGATTTCCATTTACCTGATTTATTTGTCAATTAACCTAGGTACTCGTAAAATCTTATATTATCTAAATAGATTTACTGAGATCATATAAGATTTTACGAGCACCTAGGTTTGCTGTTACGGGAAGGGTATTAAAGTGTGTGTTTTTTTTATTTTTTTTTCAAATATGAATAGCTTAGTATGAAATAAATTAATTTTCAAAGTTTGACCAAAATATATCCATATACAAGGAAACTACTACAGTTAATTACTCTCTACAATAACAACATAGGATCTTTAAATTTACAATGTTTTGAATTTTCTCCGTAACCAATAATCGTACAAAAACGCTTAAATATACTAAACTATTTGTTTTTTAAGCTCTTCAAAATAGTTTGGAGAAAAGTTGGGAAATTTTATGTTTTGGGTCAAAATGGATAAACCGTATTTTTGCCCCATACACCCCTCCATCAAACCCCGTTCCTGATAACGCTGGTTTACGAACTCCTTAGAATAAATTTAGAATCAGGTAATTAGGTTTACACGTTTTTACCAAGTTTGATTGAAATAGGATCATTTTTGCACCGGGCATAGCACAGGTCTTACCATAAGACGTACCTACGTTAAAAGCATATTCCATACATGGGAAATTCGCTAATAACGGCAAATAAATACGCTATTTGGGGTTGGGAAGGCTTAAAAAAGTTAGTGGCGAAAACGGGACTTCTTTTTGGGCATGATCACGCCAATGAATGGTTTTGCTATTAGTTAGCATTGACCTTTTATGAAATAATATTATTACTAATAGAGATCCTAATGACAAGTAACATCTAGGTCCTCAATGGTCTCTGCTTAGAATTGAACCAGTGACCTTCAGATTAGGCCTTGCCACTCGGATCCAGACAACTACTAGACTGTTAAGTAGCATATCAAACGGTTTACTGTTTTAAAACTCAGTCCTAATCCAAAACACGATACCAACCATTGTCTGCATATGACAACACTTTCCTTATAAAACCCCGAAAATCGGATGTGTTCCAGGAAGTGTGACTGGGATCACTACCACCGACGCACGGACACGTAATCGGATAAAGAGTGGAACAGATCCGAAGCTACTTTCTACCGGCCGAAAGCGATATGGTAGCTATATAACCCTATTGTAGAGGCCGCGCGTCCAATACCGCTCAGTACCATGGAGGCTGCGCAACCTGCACTATGGTGAGTCGAGAATCTCTAAGTCGTCAAAGTAGTTAAAGGGACAATAGTTTATCGTTAGCTATCTATGATAACTATCATACCTTTACATTTTGTATTGAAACTTAAAAAAAATTGGATTGTTAAAAAATTTTAGTTTTGGAGGAAATATTTTAGAAGATTTTTTTGTCTCACTGCTTTTTACACTTTTGTTAAACGCTTTGTTGTACTTTATTGGTGATCTTTTGCAAGTCTTCTTCATAGTTACTGTGAATGAGTAGCTTATACCATCCATTGAACACTCTACATTCTTAATTCCTTTGAGCAAGTCTGACATAATATACTGGAACACTTCAGGGGCCGATACCAAACCAAAGGGCATGCGTACACAAAAGTGGCGTCCCAAGGTGTTGAAAAAGTTAGTAGTTTGGATGTTCTCTTCGTAACTTTTATCTGCCAGAACCCTTTCTTACAGTCTAGGATGGTGAATAAAGTAGAACCATTCAATCTAGCTGAGATGTCCTCTAATGTAGCCAATGGGTAATGTCTACGCTTTACATTTTTGTTAAGATCAGTTGGGTCAATGCAAAGACGTATTTTGCCTCTTTGTTGGACTATGACCATAGGAGACACACAATGAGTAGGCTCACTTACTGGAGTAATTATCTTGTCTTTTACTATCTGGTCAAGTTCTGCTTTCCCTGCTTCACGTATTGGATAAGGTATTCGCCTGGGTGAGTGTATTTTGAAACTAGGATGTTTACAAGATCATAATCAAATGACTTTAAACACCCTATTCCATCATATACGCCACTAGACTGATCAATTATACCAGCAATCCGTTTCACGAACCCTAGTGTTTCACATGATACTCTTCCTAATATTGATTGATGCCCATTTGGAACTATTAGAAAAAATACAGTGTCTTTATGAGACTTTTTGGTTACAACTGGACAACTGGCTTCACCAAAAACTGGCGTTTTTGGTCTTTAAAAGAAACAAGGCATTTAGTTGCAAAAGGTTCAATGTTAAGATTACAAGCTAGCGCCAAATTTTGTAAAATAACATTGCACTGAGCCCCAGTATATAATTTAAACAGCACAGTTTTGTTATTTGGCAAATTTAAGGGTTCTGTCTAATCTTGATTCTTGACTGGGTTAGAGATGCAATGGATAATCAGAATCTTTATTCTCTAAAACATCAATATTTTTACTCTTACTAAGGAGATTCATTCCAGTTTTACACATCTTAGCAAAATGACCTTCAGTCAAGCATTGATTGCACGTTCGATTAAAAGCTGGACATTGGCCTCTAGAGTGTTCTAAACCACAACGTTTACAGTCAAAAAGTGAATTTTGAAACGTAGGCCTGGATAATGAATCGTCCCTTTTAACGACATAAACATTTTTAGGGCTGTCAGAGGATATTTCTGCTAGTTGTTTCTAAGCGTGTTCATGTGCCTTTAGATGTGGCTGTGGCCTTACACTTACTAATTGCATCATGTAGGGAAAGGTTATCAGTAGAAAGCAATTTTTCTTTAAGCTAGAATCTGATATGCTAATTACTATACCATATCTAATCAAACAGATTTTTTAGTTGCTCAAAAATTACAAAAATTAGCTAGGTTAACCAATTTAGTACAAAAATCTTCAAAACTTTGATGGGTTTCTTGGGTATTTTGTTGAACAAAAGTCGCTCAAATAATTCATTAGATTTACTAACAAAAAAATTATCAAAACGTTGAACAACTTCATCTAATTCAATACCTTCATCATCCATGAAACCAAAACTGTTATATATTATATCTGGGCCTAAACTAGACATAAATGATGCTACCTGGGGCCCATTTCATAATAAACTACAAGTTACAAGTTACAACTTGTAACTTGTAATTTCCATTAAATTTGCATTGGGCGATCAGCTGATTTCCTAATAATATTAGTTTGTACTTTATTATGAAATAGGCCCCTGTACTGCATTGGATTTCCTATCAAGGCCAGAAGCTGTGTAGTACCAGTTCCACTGTTGCTTCCATTTCTTCCAAGAAGGAGCCATCTGAGTACTTGAAACCACAAGACATTATAGTGGTTTTACATTATTATCCTTGTCTTCTGTATGGTTTGTATGGATATCGTCATCTTCCTTAAAGTCGTACCTTTTATTTCTATTCCGTGTGGGTTTCGGCACCATGTATTGTACTGAATCATGAAAAGTTGTGTATTTATATAAACAAAAACTCAATCAAAATATAAAACAATAACACAAAACATATGTTATTAACCTATTAACTACTATTAACAACTTTAAGTAGCGATGATTTAGTATTCTTTTTCCATATCTTTTAAAGATAAATTTAATCAAAACAATTTTTTTATTTAAATCAATTTGCCTATAAATAAAAATAATTAACCCGGATCATTAAATAAAAGCAAAGTTTAAATTTAATTTTTGCAGGGTAAACCATTATATTGTTTGGGTGATAAGTCAAACAGTAAATGATTTGACTAAATTGTATAAATATTATTTATTGCTTTATCTATATTCTACATTCACAAAATATAATGTAATATTTATTAATACCTCGTGGAATATTGTTAGTAATCTGACATCGTTTTTACGTCTACTAAATGTTTCCTTTATATTTGTTGTTGTAATATTTAAAATGTCAGTAATAATATTTTAGCTGTCAATTGGTTAGCCTTGCAAAGGTGATTTCTGATTTTAAAATCTGTTCCGTTACACTCTAACTTACACAAATTACTTTTACCAATGAAAAATATTATCATGAATTTAAAACATAAACATTTCTTGAATATCGTATATATATATATATGAGTGGATTGAACGATGCAATGGTTGTGTTCTGGAGTAGGAATAACGTTGTATCCTTTCATCAAAATTTTGTTGACAAGAGTAAGTTCTGAACAGAAAGAGAAAGGAGACGTAATAATTACGTGGAGAGTTTTTCGAACGACGAGCGTAATCATTAAAACAAGTTTCTCCTTGACAGCCAATCAATTTCAATTAGCAAATGCGTATTTAAATTACACCGTACCACTTTGCCAAATTTGGGTTCGCCATATTTTGGTATTCAAATTTTGACCCCAATTAACGTTACCAACTTGTTCAATTTGGTTTTTGCACACACGTATACATTAAGTAACACTCGATGGCATTTGTTTTTTTTTTTTTTTACCTATGTTATTTGATACTTCATAGGGTTCTTTTAATATGATACTCCAAATTGTATTTATCGGTTAAACACTATAGTTTTGTCATACTAAATGATCAGCTGATGATATAGGTATGTTTTAGACCGGCATGTATAGTTCTGATTTTTGAGTCTACAGTCTGCTGTTGTTTTACAATTCCATTATTGTTTAGCTCAAAAAACTATTTTAAATATTTTACTTGTGTAGTTTGATGTACTTGATGTGTACTTTCAGGTAGGGTACTAGCTGTTACCCTACACCCCTTGGCTGTTACGGGGCTTCACCCCGTTTGATTTGATAAGTATTAATAACATTATTGATTGGTTAGATTGGGCTGAAATAAACCAAACAGAATACAGTAATACAATAGTTATTTGTGCAATGTGCAACTAGTGAGAAAAGTGAGCAATTGACTCACTCGAGAGAAATCCTTACTCACGAGCCGTAGGCGAGTGAGGAATGGTTTCTCGAGTGAGGCAATTGTACTTTGAACTCGAGTTGCACATTATACTTTTCCTACAGTTACCATAAAACAAATAAATTTCTGAAGAAACATAACCTATTTTTACACAGAAGTGAACTTTTAATATAACATTTAATGTGAAGTGACAAATACAACAGTACAACAGCTGACCAGCTGATTTACAGCCAGTGCTGCCAACGTATTTCGCGCGCATACGACGTTGCCTGCATGTTACGCGCTCACTATTTCGTGCCTTCACGTTGCAAATCTGGAGTGAGACAAAGTAATTAGAGTGAGACAATGTTAACATTGTCTCACTGATGAGCGAATTGGCCACTTTGCTTTCTCAAATCAGTGAGAGGACATTGTTAGGTAACTGTAGGAAAACAAATAATAACACCTGATTTTAAGGTAATCAATTGAAAGAATAACATACAAATAAGTACAGCTGAGTTATTTTTAACATTACTGTAGGTATATGGAAAGTTCGTTTTGGAAAGCAATTACGACCTTAATTTATGAAATTAAATTACGGGTAATTTATGAAATAAAAGTTTCTCGTCATGAAGAACATTTTAAGTATATGGTTTATTGGGGTGTGACTTGTGACTGTAGTTTTCTCAAAAGTTCATGGGTACTTTGGGATTTATATATGGATAATAATATGCTATGTTAGGTTTGCCATTATAAGAAAAAAATGATTTAGTCGACATCAGCTCACTCAAACATGAAATAAAGTCCATAGTTTAGAATGGCAAGGTAAATCCGCTTGTAGGTTCCTTAATACAACAATACTTAACCAATCTAAATGTCAGAAAGTAATTTATCTAGTTTCATTCTGAATTTAATTTCACCGTAGCGAGAATGCAAAATTATGTACATGGCCCTTCTGTATAAATAAATACCGTGTCAATACATTTTTACTAATCGGCTGTTTCGAAAAATTATTTAATGACTTTTTTCTATACATAGACTGAATAATTCAAATCATCAATTAGCCTAAGGCACTGCAAAGTGACTGCTTTTCAAAATTTTTATCAAATGGGCACACGCGTTTACAGGGAGACCTACCTCTGTTTTAATAGTAAAGATTATTAAATGTTTTATTTTATAAAACAATGTCTAACCCTTCCGTGAAACTCAAAATCCAATTCGACGAAAGATATTACGGGTCTATGACTATGCATACTTTCTCCGCCGTAATCTAACTCCTGACGGAAGATACTATCATTGACTAAGGAAACAAAACTCTTTGTTTCCCTTGTCTGTGATACTATCATTGACTTTACTACTATGTACCTATTGAAACAACTCTGAAATTGGCTTGCAATAAATGATGACGTCATTGTTCTAGGCTGAAGCACTGGGCTTCTGTTTAGGATTAAAACTAAATATAACAAATAAACCCCTAACATTTTATACAACAAACTATTGCTAATCAATATTCTCACAAAATAAACTAAAAATTAACGAAATCAAGAACAACTCAGTGGGTCTTGTTCTGCGATGAGTCGAGTCAGCTCATTGTTCTCTCGTTCTTTGTTCAATTTAAACGTCATATTATATTGTGTATAGATTGTTGATGTTTTATCATTAATAGTTTAAGGTGTTTGTTTAATTGTTGTGTTGTTTAATTGATCCAATGATACTTTAATACTTTTAATACTTTAATACTTTTTTTTAAATGGCGACCATACATAGTAGGTATTTTAAGCCAAGTATGAATATAGATGAGTGTAGGATGAGTGGCGCAATCTTGTAGTCTTGTTAGTGACTAAGACCGACATTCTTTAGACACAGCTGTTAATTAATAGCCCATACAGCCAATGAAAACTAAGGGACCTACAGTTTATAGTGGAATCCGAACCAAATCTTTTTGCCTTGGTATATACGAACTGGTCTAATTATCAGGACAGCACTGCGGGTAGTCGTAGTACTCACTCGTGCGGACGTTAATCCACACCAGGCAGTATCGCATCCACAGTGCATGCCTATAAATATCCACAATTCGTGATCTCCTAGTAGCTGGATTACAGGACGACGCCACCCGTCCCAGTCATAATTAGTTTGAGACAATTACTTATTAGGTGAAAATCCAATAGCTGATCCATAACTGCTTCAATACGAATTAGATCAGGTCATAATAGTTAAATCACGCATATGCACGTTTAAAAAATAAACATAAATTTGTGTGAGGAAATTATCTAAATGTAATGCTTGTTTTAACATAACCTGACTCAAATTGCATGGGGAACGATAAGTTGACTTGTGGATTTAAAAAATATGGAACATTTTCAATACGGACCGACACACACTGATTTGTTAGTATTTTGTAGTGGGGAGGCAAATGTAGTAAAATATGTCAAATTCCAAAGTTGGCTCACCCCGAAAGGTAACCGGTGAACACTATGCTAGATGATATTGTATAATAGTAGAGATGATATTTTGACCGGTGTTCACTCTGTATGAGTGGGACTCTCTTTTCTGGACGCCATTTTCCAAAATGGCGGATGTCAACGTTTGATCTTTGAATAACTCGAGCAAAAATGATCCGATTTTGATGAAATTTGGTATTAACGTTTAAACTTACATTTATTTGAATGAGTTCGAGAACCAACATGATCGGACCATGGGAGTGGGGGTTTATGGGGGGTTTTATGGGGTAAAAATGGGATTTTCTTATTTTTTGCCCCCAAAGCACAACATTTTCCAATTTCTCTCTAAACCATTTTAATGAACTTAAAAAGAGAAATAATTTAGTATATTAACGTTTTTTGTACCCTTATTGGTTACGGAGAAAATAAAAAAAAGTGTTATTTAAAATTCCCATGTTATTCTTATGGAGGATATTGTCAACTCTTGTAGTTTGCTTGTTTATGGATATATTTTGATCAAACTTGGTAAACTTATTTATTTATACTAAACTATTAATATTAATATTCTACTAACATTCACACTTTATTAGCCTCCCTGTGGCAGCAAACCTAGGTACTCGTTAAACCTAATTTTATTTAAATTGAATTGATTTAAATACAAATCAGGCAAATGGAAATTTACTTAGTCTGCAGGTTTGCTGTGACGGGGTTATTTCATTCTTGACATTTCTTCCTAACCCTAGTGGTTCAGGAGATATAAGCAGTTAAAGTTGGGGTTTCCTCCATGATAAATACATTGATCAGTTTTAACTGTCACCCTAATGCATTTTCTGTGCTATTCCGTTGCATTTCTTAAGAAGTGCATAAACTTTTGAATTGGCATATAATAACAAAGCTAGATTATCAGGCACATCTCAGATTCGCACGATGCGTTAAAATATTAAAAGTATCGTTTTATTTTAGTTTTTTCTCCATGAATTGTATTTTGGCGGCCATTTTGTGGGATCAAATCAAATTTTAAGTTGCAGATTTAGTTTCCCCACCCTTTTAAACATTAAAAAAAAACATACTACACACTATATCTAGCAAAAATGTTTTTAACTATTTTTCTCTGGGAGCGATTATTATTTTAATTTAAATACCATTATATCAGGTACTTTACCAAGTCGGATTTTGGTAGACTTTTTTTGTTGTTGTGTGGAGGTATAAAAGTAATGAAATCCGCCAAAAAACCGAAAAATTTTGTTGAACCTCCACTATATATTTCTCTTTAATGGCCGGACTACAACTCCACAGACTTTTCATGCCGTAGTTTATGTTTATCAATATTGCTCTTATTACAAAAACTGGCATAGCAACTTGTTTATGCAATTTCAGATCTTTTAGCTCTAGTATTTCTATGTCTGGCTTGAGACGCTTCAATACATCCAAATTATTTACATCACTGTAAGACAAACGTTTATAGTAGCATTCCAACGCGATTTATTCCATCTTTGCCACCATTTATGAGATTTTCATTAAATACAACAACTTTGTAAAATATGCATAAATCCCAGTTTGTTAGCTCAGAAACTTTACGCTTCACTGGCAATCTGGCAACAGGTATCAATGTCTGATCCATTTAAGAGATGTTTCATGTAATATTTGTTTTGTATAATTATCTACTGTATATTGAAATACCACCACTGAAATAATACACTAAACTGAAATACACAAAACTGAAATAAACTAACTGAACAACCAAACTGAATCATTTTTATCACATAATTAAACAGATACAAAAATGAAACAACCATCTTCAATAATCATATGTCAACGGAAATGCATTAGGGTGACAGTTAAAACGGATCAATGTATTTATCATGGAGGAAACCCCAACTTTAACTGCTTATATCTCCTGAACCACTAGGGTTAGGAAGAAATGTCAAGAATGAAATAACCCCGTCACAGCAAACCTGCAGACTAAGTAAATTTCCATTTGCCTGATTTGTATTTAAATCAATTCAATTTAAATAAAATTAGGTTTAACGAGTACCTAGGTTTGCTGCCACAGGGAGGCTAATAAAGTGTGAATGTTAGTAGAATATTAATATTAATAGTTTAGTATAAATAAATAAGTTTACCAAGTTTGATCAAAATATATCCATAAACAAGCAAACTACAAGAGTTGACAATATCCTCCATAAGAATAACATGGGAATTTTAAATAACACTTTTTTTTTAATTTTCTCCGTAACCAATAAGGGTACAAAAAACGTTAATATACTAAATTATTTCTCTTTTTAAGTTCATTAAAATGGTTTAGAGAGAAATTGGAAAATGTTGTGCTTTGGGGGCAAAAAATAAGAAAATCCCATTTTTACCCCATAAAACCCCCCATAAACCCCCACTCCCATGGTCCGATCATGCTGGTTCTCGAACTCATTCAAATAAATGTAAGTTTAAACGTTTATACAAAATTTTATCAAAATCGGATCATTTTTGCTCGAGTTATTCAAAGATCAAACGTTGACATCCGCCATTTTGGAAAATGGCGTCCAGAAAAGAGAGTCCCACTCATACAGAGTGAACACCGGTCAAAATATCATCTCTACTATTATACAATATCATCTAGCATAGTGTTCACCGGTTACCTTTCGGGGTGAGCCAACTTTGGAATTTTGGCCATTTGCCTCCCCACTATTGTGCACGCTCAAATTATTTCATATTGTCTTCATTTTAACACTGTCTTTGTTTGTCATTTTCTATTCTTTAGCATGCTCATATTTTCCAGGCTCTCAATGTGGCCAACTGTTTACCGTGTTCTGCGCGCTCTGGTAGGTCTGCCACCCCTGCTGCTGGTACTAGCCTTATGTTGGTACCACTGGAAGTTTCGCCGCGTTTTGGATGCTGCCCGTAAGTTACCCACCGAAGTGAGGACTTTGCCTCTGTTGGGGCATGCGCACTACGTTCTATATGGATCTACAGGTGAGAAATGATGTGTAAAATACTTTTATAATTACGTGTGGAATGGATGGAATTAATGTTTGGATGCATGTATTTCAGGAGTTATTAAGGATGTGTTCATGGTGAGTAAAAAGTTAAACAACGTTTTGGGATCTGGAATCTGATCTTCTCAGGTGAAAGAATGCATGAAAGATAACAAGATCCTAATACAAACCAGTTCAAATCTGGGGAATTACAAAAGAAAAAAAAACACCTTATGACAAAATTATATTAAAATATGCAAATCCTCAATTCCCTTAATTTCGCTTGAATTCCTCACACCCAATCACAATAATTTGTTTTCTCTTCAGTGCAGTATTTTAACGGATATAATTAACTAGCTGTACCCGCGGGCTTTGCCCCGTTTAACTTCTTAATTTTCAAGATGAGCTCGTTCGCATGGCTCAATCACGTCCTGGTTGAAGTTCGTTCGCTACGCTCACTCACCTTTAGGCTGCGCTCACTTGCCTTCAGGTTAGCTCGTTCGGTACGCTAACTCGCCTCCAGGTTGAAATTCGTTCGCTACGCTCACTCACCTTTTGGTTGCAAATTAGCTGTTATCATGAATTAAACAAAAATAATAGTGCTGCACCCTGTTGGTAATCCTTGCAAATTTAATGCTATTGAACATCAAAGAACAGAACCAACTTGTTAAGCTGTTAACAACAGCTGTTAAGATTCATTAATTCCTTTTAAATATGAAAAATCATAAGGTTAACATGGGAAACTCCAGAGCCACTAGGGCGGAGCCCGAATGCCCGATCAGAATAAAAGCTACTTAGTTTTCCTATTTAATGCCCAAAGAATCGGTGTACCGAATTTCAGCCTCCTAGGTAAATGGGAAGTGGGAGAATTAGTGATGAGCGAGTGAGTAAATGTGTCAGTGAGTCAGTGAGGGCTTTGCCTTTTATAAGTATAGATTTACACTTTTCTAAACAATTTATTTCCTTAGATACTGTGACTAGATTATTTTTCCGTATTTTTTTAAATATTTATGCTGAAGTAGACGTTTTCGTTTTCCGAACGTAAGATTTTTCTGTATTATTCTTTTGCTTAGTTGTGATCGAAACGCAGCCGTTCTGCATTATTTACTACTGATCCTAGATTCGATTGGTTTAGTTTTATAGAGGTGAAAAGTTCAAAGTAGTTGTCGAATATAATAGGGTGCATTATCATGCAGATGTTTTCATGTTTGCATTTACCGTTTTGAATGTTGTTTGCAGTATCAAATCAACTGAGGTTACGAAACTGATGGTTTCGTTTATCAATAATTAAAGTAACACAACTTCCATTCTTAAAAAAGTGATTTTTTTAGAAATGGTGATGACAATCGTCAACGCTGCAAAAAGCTCGTTGGCTAAAGGAAGCAAAACGTTATGCCTCTGGCTGGGGCCGTACCCGGTGGTTTTCGTCCAAAGAAATGAAGATGTGCACGTAAGTTTCATAAAATATTATTTATATGATTCTTTACTAAGACAAATGTATTTAAACATTAAGTACCGGGGGGGGGGGGCTTGGTTGTAATTAATTGGGTTTTATCTTTGAATGAATATCGTAAACAGACATCTTACTAAGTTTACGATAAACATTTTTATGGAAAATCATAGACGATCACTGAAATAATATCTCAGTAATGTAAAAGTATGCAAAAACGAAAATAGCATACACTTGTATAATCTTGCTTCAGTTTAAGTGCTACTTGCAACGAATTTGTCCCCATTTAGTGATTAAAACCCGTTATTTTACACTCACCAATGGCAGCAGATAGAAATATTATATAAACAAAATCATATTTGCTTCAAAATGGCGTGTGACAAAACTTTTTTCGTTTTTTTGCTACTACTTCTAAAGAAATTGAGATTCTATCAGATTTTTATTGGGATTTAGCATACGGTAATAGTTTTATGCCGAATTTAACCCAGATGTTTCCTTGGAATGTCTCAGTACTTCGGGAATTAAGTTTTAGTTGGAGAGGGCTAAGTAAAATAATCAGTATTTGATTGGCAATATTTTCTCCTATATCGAGTATTCTTAAATGTAATCTTTGCTCAATAGTCAGTCACAAGGGATGTTTTCTTTCCTTTGTACTGTATTTTGTAATTTGCTAGTATACTGTGGGTGGCTTGTTAAAATGGGACAAGTCTTTTGTTTACATTTCCCTTGTTATTTTGTTTCAACCAACATAGTTACTTGTAAACCCATAGTGACAATGTTAAATGTGTTGTTAAAGAGAAATGCGAATTTTCCTGAGGTAGTGGCTGTCACCAACTACGTTTTAGGGCTATAAGTCTCTAATTCTAAAGTTTAGTCAAAGTCTTTCCGCTTGACTTTGAGGTACATATTACAGATAGACAGACAAACAGACATAGGTCGTATTAGAGAATAGGATATCTATTCTTTTTAATAATATTTTTGTCTTTCTCAGACAGTCCTCACGAGCTCCAAAACATCTGAAAAGAGCAATGAATACAATTTTCTCAGATTCGCTCTTGGAAACGGTCTTTTAATAGCCCCAGGTAAGAACTAATACAGCGTACACTGTATTGCTTGTATAGATATAATTTATTGATATTCTGATTAGTGTACACTTCAGGTTTTCTTCATACTTAATTCATAAAGTTGCATGCTGGCATCAGCAGGGTGTTAGTTTAATGCGAACATCAAAAAATGTAAAGTACAAATTCATTTCGTGAAAAAGATGTGACTAACAGAAATCATTCGTTTGTGTGTTTAATCTACGCATAGAATACGCGTGTAATTTAATTTATTTATTTTAATTTAAAGAAGGTTGGTTCTTTAACCAAGTTTCTTTAACCAGTAATCATTTAGCTTAAAAGGTAGGGCGATCAAGGACAGCAGGGTCCAGTTCAAGAAGTCTAAAAGTGTTAAACTTTTCCTTGGGGCGAACGGCAACCTTTTGCGTTATCAGGTTGCCCTTTTACGAAACTAGCTGTATGTCTCTGTTTCAGAAGCAGCTGGTTTTAAAACAGCTTTTTAATTTTTATAAATATATTTTCCTACAGTCACCTTACAAAGTCGGCTTGCTTGCACAGATTATAGTACAGAAAGCCTACTTTAGAGCACAGTTTTTACTTTGGCGCACACCAGTATTCCAACCAAACAACACAAAACAGCCTGCTTTTATCATGCACGTAATCCGTAGAAGCTTGAAAATAAGTTGGCAACACGATATTACGACTACGATCAGCTGGTGCAGCGTTTCCCATTTAATTCAATGTTTTGATTTAACCAAACCTAAAAAACGTGTTGTAAAGTGTTTGAAAGACTAATTATTTATATGATTTATAGTAACTGTAGCCCACTAGTTAAACAAATAGCTATTCCTCTTTATTTTGTAACAAATAGATGAGGTGCTGACACAACAACAATTATTAAACCCTACTATTCAAAAACAATAGCTTCATTCATTCAAAAAGTGTTTCCAGCTAGGAGAGTGGGGGGACACACTGTAGGGGTTTTTTCTTTAAAAAGTAAAAATGAACATATTTCCTACAAGGACAAGGATTACAGAGTGGCCAAAAGTGGTTCTTATTTTTTTAAAAGCTTATTCAATGTTGTCAATGTGGCTAGTTTGATGATAGTATGATGATAGTCATTCAAAAGGTCGCCGGTTCGATCTTGAGAAAAGTCTTTTTGATGGTTAGAAACGAAACCCTGCTGTCCCTGATTAGGGTCGTTAGGGTTAAAATACGAACATAGATGGCATTCCTATCTCATAATGATAATGATAATAATAGTATTTCTGTCAGCACTTAGAAAAGTCATTGTACAAATATTCAGGTCTATATAAACATCTTGAGTTCAAATCAGGCAGATCTTAAACCTGGTACCCATGAGAAAGCACTGATACAAAATCGTTCTAAAATGTTAAACACCATCCATTCAGAATCGAATACCCACATAAGTGATTCACAGTTTACCAAGTTTAAAGCAAATATTAATAAAGAACATATTAATAAAGAAAATTGTAATAATGGGAGGAGGTATTACGAAACGTACAGTTTGAAATGAGATAACCTTTCCATGTTTAGCATTTCACTCAGCCTAGAAGACAAGCTTTCTAAACTGGAATGATAATTGTGGCCAAGGACAAATGCGTGTAGGTTATTGAATTCAACTAGTTTTCAACCCGTTCACATGCCGGCCGGTCGTGTGACTAAGTAATACCAACCAGCATTTCTTTTAAATGGATTAATTTAATAAGACTTTTTCTTCGCTATATTTTTTGAGTTTTTAGCCTCTCGTATATGGTTTAGTGTTTTTATGCTAATGATTTTACACTCGAACTCTGAAGAAAGACATTCTTCTGTGGATCATAACCGCTTCTATAAAAGTGTTACACTTCCAGAAGTTATTATAGAAACGAATATAAATTAATTGTGGCTCATATTTTCACGAAATATATTCAACCTATTTGACAGAATGTTAATTATTTCTTAATGAGAACATAGCAATTGTAAATTGAGCAAATATGAACATATAAGTTTTTTATAAACCCCCCACCCCCTGCTAAAATGTTTTACACCAATCAATACAACTTTAGACATCGTGTATTCCGAGGAAAATGTTTAGGACCTCAAATATTTGTTGTGGTTAGGTCTATGCTAAAGAAACAGCCTAAATAATTCATGATACCCTTACAAATGTTAAAAGAATGTTTAGACTTCTTCAGTAACAAATAATTTGCACAACGCACCTTACTCTGTCCTACACTTTATCGTTCACTAATAGCTGGGTGAAATACGTCTAGTTACGTCCCATCTCAATTACTAATATGGTACAGTATGGACATATGATATCCGTTTGAGTGAAACCTTCCAGTTTAGTAGCCTTTCCTGCGGCTAAAACAGAGAGAGAGAGACAGAAACTACACATTATTTTTTTAATATCTGAGTCAACTAAGGACGTCCTCAGGATGAAAGAGGATCGGAGGAAATAATTTTGACATGCCCAACGATATATTAATAGGCAAGCATGTTTCTTTAAAACCTTTTTTCTCAGCCCGTGTGCATTGCAGGGAAAATCTACGCATACTGTTAGAAAGATATTTTCTAGTAGATGTTCATACTCCCCTTATAGTTTCAAATATGCTCAAAAATAAGCACAACAAATTAATTTAAAGTTTATATAAAATTAACATGAGCCTCATGGGTTGCCATGCTGGTGACGAAATAACAACAAAATATAAACAGGAAATCAAAACAAATGGAATAAATTGCAATCACATGTTTTATTTACAGCGTAGCTTGAAAATGGAGAAGTCTGTACATTACATATTTTTAGTAGAGTTTTCGACCACTGGACAACCTCTAGTTTTTATTAAATATGGGAATGACACATTTTTAGAGCCATCACGACTGATGCGAACTTAGGTACTTGGCTGATTAGAACTACCCTTTTGAGGACTATGAGTAAACGCGCAACTCCTAGCTGCTAGGTTCTAAAACATTCTTTGGATCTCTACCAATACTATAACATATGTTACTACAAACATATAATTTACCCTTCCTATTTTCCCCAGGCCATATTCACAGAATCACCAGACGCTACGTGAACCCGATGTTTCAACCTCGGAACCTGGAGAAACTCATCTCTGTCTTCAACGAATCAGGACAGTATCTCGTCCAGAAACTATCGAGTCGCGTGGGCAAAGGACAGTTTGATGTTCTGCCTATGGTCACCTCCACTTCACTCAGGAGCGTTTCTTGTGAGTATACTGGCTAAACTCGTGGTAACCATGGTAACATGGTAATTGTTATAGGGAATCTGACTGATTTCCAAATATTTGTGGTGGGGTTAGAGCTGCCAATTCCATCCCTTGGGTAAAACAGAATCAGATGGAGTCTAGGACGTTACCTGTACATTTTTCTCACTTTAAACTCTCCATAATCCATTGCGGAGTCGTATGAACGACCTTTTGGCAAGTAACGTATAGGGTGAATAAAAACGGGAAAATATTGGTTATTAATTTTTATGTTTTTTGTGTAGTTAGCTCAAATTATCAACCCCTCTAACATGAAATAGCTATTTGTAAAAGTTATTGCCACTTGAGAACTATGGTACGAAGCTTTAGCTGAGTGTGGCCATATATATTTCGAGATTAGCAATATCTGTGCTCGTAATACACTCACAATCTTTTCGACCACACAGATTAGCTTTTTAGTTCTTTGTCAAATGTAACTTTAGTTATGTTCACTTTCAGGTTATATCATTCGCTTACCGGATGTTGTTTTTAAGAAACGTCAACAGTAAATTCAGCTGATTTAGCGTGCACGAAGAATAAAGCGGAGACGAGCTATTTTGCGTATCGTTTACAGGCGTGGCAATGTGATCATGTCCATGCATGGGTAGGAAAAAAATCTCGCAAAAAGTCTCACAATTGTTATGATTCCCTGAACATAAGTGGACAGTTGTAGATTATTTACGTAACTGTCTTTCCAGTTGATTGATAATTTAAGATAGTTTTCTCGGGCTAAACCTTTTCGCAGTGTTGCAGGTACATTGTTTGGCCCAGATATCAAGATTGACACAGAGTCTGAAGAGTTCAGAGGACTCTCCTGGGCAGTGAACATGTAAGTGCTTAAAAATACATCTAATAGATGAAGATCATAAAATTTGTTCACACCAATCGCTCACGTAAGTTTATCGATGTTTATAACGTACGGACAACAGATCTTAAAATAGTTTATACGAGTAGTTATCCTAGAAGCTTGATTTACGTTTTTTTCGTGAATATCGTGAATATATTTAATCTATGAGGGGTTTGATAAATTCCTGGTTACATCCACCAGTATTATTGCTTTATTCACTTTATTTGAATGATAAGATTTTGAATTGTTACTTTCTATTAGCTATACTTTGATACTTTAATACTTTACATTAAAATGGCAACTATACAAAGTAGGTATTTTAAACCAAGTATGAATATAGATGAGTGGTGCGATCTTGTAGTCTTATTAGTGACTAAGGCTGACATACTCCTTAGACACAGCTGTTAAAATATAAAACGGGGTTTGAACCGTGAATCGGTCAATGTGTGAGCCACTAAATATGTGATCGTAAATAAAAGAAATGTTTTGTGTTTGAATTATACCATTGCACTTTTAAAGATATTTGTACACTTTTCAAAGTATTTTCACTGTATACATGCTGCACTTGATCCATCGGCTTTATGGAACAGGAATCAAACACAGATCTCTAAGTTCAAATAAAAAAACATCTGAGAAAATACATGTTGCACTTGTTTTTTACTACGGCATAGTATTGCTAACATTCTTTCCGTGTAAATAAATAAATTAATTAAATCTTATTGACAAATGTTACAGCAATATTGAATTAGTTCTCCAAAGTTCCACACTATATCTACTTGAACTTTACCCTAAATTAGCCCCTAAAAACCCTAATTTACCCTAAAGTGGCCCTTCTGCTCCTTGCATACTCATCCATTTAATTTGTCTACAGGGTTGCACTAGTGGAGTTAAACAGATTCTTCAAGATTTGGCTGTGGCCAGAACCTGTGTTCAGACTGTTGTGGAACAAAGAGATAAATGACATCCAAGACTGTTGGCGCAAGTTTGCCAAGGGGCCGTTAGAGGTAATATATTACATGTGTAACTGATTAATGGTCAAGAGAGTTAGGTAGTTTCATCTTATTTCCCACACTTTTAAATTGACATGCTAAAATACATTTCTTCTTAGAATAAAAATCAAACGTTATCTTAGGTAGTTGAATGACAACAAATATTACAAATGTGTCACTTTTCTTGCTTTTCAATAAGGTTTCGGGGCATTATAAGTTAAATTTAAAACAATTTCTATGTTACAGGAATTGGAAAGAAAAAGAAACTCTCAGAACAAAGAGATTGACACAAATGAAAACGTGCTTCAAGATAAAAAAGGTTAAGTAGTTACAATATGTTTTACTTTACCATAAGTTAACATTTTAATCACTTCCTAAGTTATACATTTTCGACTTGTAAGACTTTTATGCCAAGGCTATTCACTATTTCACTACAATCTAGCGCGCTCTAGGATTCATTTAAATGCTAATGAATTCAAAAGCAATAGTATTCCATGTATAGAACTGGCCTAGTTCAACAGGTGATTGCGAAGTGGAATGAATTAAGAATCAATTGACGAGGAAATAATCAATCTTGGTCCGCAGATTCTTCTTCTCCCCTGAATCTCCCAGACACCTATCGAACACTGAGGGAAAACCATCCGGAGTTTCAGGAGAAAGAACTTCATGATGAACTTCTGACTCTAGTCGTTACGGTAATTATGCTTGGTTTAACAGCAAAAAGTTGTTTAGAAAACGTTAAGGTTAAGATTTTGAGACGTCCTGGGGAAAGTAGGTTTTAGATAGTGGTTTGTTTTTATTGGTTTTAGTTGTCCTCACTCATTACTAGATCAAGAATGTTGAAGCGTGGCTGATCTAGTGGTTACGGCCTGGAGGGGTCACGAGTTCAAATCCTGCTATCCATTCACAACTGGAAATTAGTTATATTTTGATGTTATCAAGATTTGTTTAGTAGTCCCGAAAATGCATTGTTCATGGTTATTAGTTAATGTGTATAAACTACAAATTAACCATATAAAATATATGGTTTTTCATTACCTTTTATCAGTTGCAAAAGTAACCTTCGTCAACGTGTTACATGTTTCGGCGAGCTGCCAATGTCAAACACTTCATTACAGGAATATATAAATCCGCTTGAATAGCTTCCTTCTCACAACATTTTACACGACAAACAACATTTTACACGGCAAACAACATTTACACACGACACGTACGACATTAAAACAAATACTTTTAGTTTGATAGGGCTATCACGAGCATACAACATGATTTATATATTCCTGTAATGAAGAGTTTGACAATGACAGCTCGCCGAAACAATTAACACGTTGGCGAAGGTTATTTTGGAGCCGATAAAAGGTAATGAAAAACCAACTATTTTATATACTACAGTTCCGGGGCTACAACAATGAATTTTTACAAATTAACCAGTTTAGGTGTTTTTAAAGGTGTTGTTCTTGTATGGTAAAAGTCTTGGTAAACCTTCTTTGTTCAATATAAATAAAATATATTCTCGTATAAATAAAATAATAGTTTTTTTACTTATAAGTTAAATCAAGCAATAACTATTTTGGTTTGTATAAAAGTGTAAACAAATTTAATGGGTGGAGATTAATGTTATACAGTAGGTGTAGCTAGAATCGTGATTTTAAATATACAGAGTCCACAACAATTATTCTGCGCTCGGCATTTTACTTGTTGAACCATTCATAACAGATAACGCGGCAAAGTTTTGCACATAAATAGGCCTACGATACCTAAATATATACTTTTTTGAGCAAATACAAATATTTTCTATCATACTGAGGACGATCTACAATGAGTCGAAGGTCTTAATAACCTGTTATCTAAATTTTTAATATTTTATCACTCCTTATAATCTTCCTGGGATGATGTCACAGGAATGCTTCCTCTGGGATACAGGTCCCTGATATGATGGAAAACAACATATATTTTATTCAAAAGGTAGATGCTTAAAAGTACTAACGTCAAAACCTCTGGTCCATTCTCTAAAATGGTTCTAAAAACCCCGTTCTCAAAAGTCTAAATACTGTATATTAAATAGTTGTCTTTGAAAGCTAAATTGTTATAAGCTTAATTAATGAAGAACATTTATATAGTACAATAGTTGGAGTTATATTAGTCCATGGTTGTTGGGATATGATGTAAACGGTGTCATTGGCATTTACAGTCATGATTCCTCCTGTTTATCCGCGTCATAACGTTTGTGTAATTTCAGGGCGTTGACAGCACCAAATCCGCAATATCATCATGTCTTCTATCGCTTGCTGCTCTTCCCGAAATCCAGGTAAAACAAAGCAATATTTTATTTAGGCCTGTATTTCGATTACATTTCGTAGAGGCTTAACAACTGTGCAAGATATTTCTGTAATCCAGCTACTAGGAGGTCACGAATTGTGGATATTTATAGGGATGAACAGTGGATGTGATGCTCCCTGGTGTGGATTAACGTCCACACTAGTGAGTACTACGACTATCCGCAGTACTATCATGATAATTAGACCAATTCGTAAATTACAAGGGAAAAAATGTGGTTCGGATTCCACTATAAACTGTAGGTCCCTTAGTTGCCATTAGCTGTATGGGCTATTAATTAACAGCTGTGTCTAAGGAACATGTCGGCCTTAGTCACTAACAAGACTACAAGATCGCGCCACTCATCCTACACTCATCCTTCACTCATATTTGGGTTAAAATACGCACATAGTGGCGTCCCCATCTTAAATAATTGATTGATTGATTGATGGTGGATTTTTATGATTTGAAATATTCATAAACTAAAATCGATTCCCAGAAGCATTCTAAGAATGGTTTTTTATAACAGATAAAACTAAAATAATCTAATGTTTTTACCATCACAATCTGATGTGTACTTAAACTATACACATTTTTAGCTAAACATAATCTTCTCAGTAACTAAAAATAAAGGATTAAATACAATTGAAGACTCTACAAGTCAGTCTCTAACTAGCCAATTGCCTTTCCCTATCTGAACAAACAATTCTACAACAGCTGGCCCGTATGGATTCGATTTATACGATGCCCACACCCTAAGTTAGGTAGCTTAACGCGGAGTGCTAGATTTGCATCTAGAGGAGTTTTTATTGGATTAGATAAGTGCTTTGTTACTTACTAACTCCAGCTGTTAGGCAAGAACATTGATTTATAAGCCCAAGAATTGCCAAGAGCCAGTAGGTATGTTTACGAACCACTAAAAAGCTACTGGCCTTCCTCAGGGTCAAATCAAATCAAATCAAATCAAAATAGCATTTATTCCATACAGAAATGTTTACAATATTGTTTGGTTTTTTTAATAATATAAAATTTAATATAAACATAAAAATATAAAAAAGCTTTTTAAATTAGCGAAATATCTTCCACAAGAGAAGGAATACCTCTGTGTGTGGAAGAGAGTCGTATTGTATATATTTATAAATTGTTTAAACTAAGTGATGATGGAAAAAAGGATTGACTCAGAAACCTTCTGGTTATAAAAAGAGCACTATACCCAGGAAATAGATTAACCCACTACTTTCCTTCCTCATCGTTTTGTTTCCAGGAGCTGTTGTATGAAGAGGTAGTGTCCGTGGTAGGTGCTGGGGATTCTGAAGTGACGATGGAGGACCTGAACAGAATGCCTTACCTCGACATGATAATGAAGGAGACTCTAAGGAAATATTCCATCATTCCCATCATCCTAAGAACCGTGAAGGAGGACCTCGTTTTGAGTAAGGAATAACATAGAACAGAGTTTAGATTATGAAATTATATTTTGGTCTCTTGATATTGTGCAAACTAAGCAGCCTAGCAAATATTGTTTGGACTGAAAATGACAGAAGTTCAGGAACAGTCTCAGTGAGCTTAACCCCAACGTAACTTTGGGGAGTGAGCTGGTCTAGTGATAGAGCGATGGTCCCGGGCTCAATTCCCACCAATCACCAATGGATTGTATACATGCGATAATGCCGCAACCCACTAGGACTAGCCTGAAGTAAGGAGTAAAACAGTTCCGGGCTAGAACTAGCGTCCTAAGGATGTGAAGGTGGGACATAAAAACCCCAATGGGAACTTAACGATCTTTTGACATAATCATATTTTTCACAACTCGAGTCCTTAAAATGTGTGGACAGTTACTCTTATACAAAGTTTTTACAACGTTTTGTCATTGTTGATGTTTTTCCCCCTTTTTTGTTACTTTTTTTTGCTGCTCTATTGCCAAACTGTATGGCTAGACAACATCAATCATCAACCATTTTTGACAACGGGCAACAGAATGCAAGTAACCACATGGCTCCTAGTAATTGATACGGACTCTAATAACTTCTTAAAAAGAATATCACCTTTTTTCAGCTTTTGATGTACAAAAGTGCCTTTATGGAAATTATAATCGGTATAGTAAAATAAAATATGTTTTCGGAGTATTTAATTAATTTATAGCTTACTTGTAGAATATATCTAAGATACACAATGTATCTACTGTATTCTCAACCCGTTCAACCCAGTGACTCGTAGAATTTACGCCAAAGCTGGTGGCAGCTGAGGGATTAGGACCGCCAGGTAGGACTACATAGGTCGGACCTGCTCACCGACCTGGCCGTCCTAATCCCTCAGCCGCCACCAGCTTTGGCGCGGAGTTAAGTATTTAGTATGAACTAGCTGTAACCCGCGGGCTTTGCCCCGTTTAACTTCTTAATTTTCAAGATGATCTCGTTCGCATGGCTCAATCACGTCCTGGTTGAAGTTCGTTCGCTACGCTCACTCACCTTTGGGTTGTAGCTCGTTCGCTACGCTCACTCAACTTTAGGTTGGAGCTCGTTCGCTGCGCTCACTTGCCTTCGGGTTAGCTCGTTCGCTACGCTCACTTGCCTTCAGGTTAGCTCGTTCGCTACGCTAACTCGCCTCCAGGTTGAAGTTAGTTCGCTACGCTCACTCACCTTTTGGTTGCAAATTAGCTGTTGTCATGAATGTAAAAGAAATAATAGTGCTGCACCCTGTTGGTAATCCTTTTAACTTTAATGCTATTGAACATCATAGAACAGAACCAACTTGTTTAATTGAAACAGCTGTTAAGATTCATTCATTCCACTTCTCATAAGGTTAACATGGGAAACTCCAGAGCCACTGGGGCGGCGCCGATTGGACGGATCACGAAATTGATGGTGTATAAACCTATTCCATGACATTCTACACGTATGTAGCAAGTTTCGTGACAATCGGTTCAGCGGTGTCTGAGTTTATCACTGCCAAACAAACAAATATATATATATATATATATATATACAAACATCCTCTTTTATACTTATAGATAAATAAACTTATTCAGTGTTTCGATTGTACTTTTTCATGCCTATTGGTAATCATGACGATTTTGTTGATTCAGGCGACTGTACACTACCAGCAGGGGCCACCGTGTCTGCTTCCTTCTACAGCCTTCATCACGATCCTGAGGTTTTCCCTGATCCGGAAAAGTTTGATCCTGAACGGTTCTCTCCTGAAAATATGGCCAAGTTGAAGAAATACTCTTACACGCCGTTCAGTAGTGGTTCTAGAAACTGTATAGGTATTTAATTGTGCTTATTGGAAACATCTCGTAATTTAATTAGTTTTTTATCTATATTTATTGGCTAGCTTAATATCATTCATGTGTTCTGCATATTAATCAAACTTTTAATCCCAGTTTATGCACTGAAACAATGAAAGATGATAGCATGGATTGTTGGTTTCAATATAGTATGAATCGAGCTAATAACCGTCTTCAATTCCGTTACGGATTGGTAGCTCGTAAACAAGACTAAATAAGTAGTTTTCAATTCCCCAAAAAAATATTTTAATTTCAGAAAGTCTTATTTCATGGGTCTGCATACCGATGCATTTTACTAAGTTGTTTTAGTACATGCTACTCTTGTACTGTAGCGGCTATGCTAGAAACGCTCAACATGCAGAGCCGATTCCTACGTGTACGGGCAAATACAAGGGTAGAAAAAACTGCAAACTTCAATTTTTTTTATTAATAACAAAATAAATAAGACACAAAAGAGTGTGTCAGTAGTCAAGGGACGTGTTAACACATTCACTATTAACTCTCTTTGGCCCTTAGTTATAAAAGAGAATGATGAATAGTACAAAACGAGTTATTTGTAATTCTTTTTCTGTTTACTTGAGTTATCCCATACAACGTCATAAAGTGAAGAATATGTCAAATGAATGTCCTTTTGTTTCATTCCAGGTAAAACCTACGCATACATGCTGACAAAGATTGCCGTAATCCACGTCATCAGACGCTACAAACTTTCTACAGATTTTGACATTAGAAAGATGCGGTACTCCATGGCTCTAGCCTTGGTGTCCGACGACGGCTACCCCCTTAAACTGGAGGGAAGATGACTGAAAACCGCGGGAAAACGTCCTCTTGAGCCAATATTTTTGCCACTATTGTGAAATAGCCATTTATCTATACTTCAACACCGATCTCAATAGTACAAATGGTCCCTTGATAGTGTTATAATATGGCGATGTATTAAACTTTTATTATGTAATTAAATTTATATTATTATTAAATATATTTTGTCTCCATTTAAAGTTGTCTTTTCTTTTTAAATGCATTATGGTGGTGTTTAGGATATTTCAAAACAAAATTAAAATTTAACCTTTTTATCAATAAATAATTTGAGTTAATCGATGGCTTAGGGCAAAGTCTCGGTTTTACATTTGAGATGGCTTAACAATTTACTTGGCGGCGGAATATAATTCCTTGCCTGTCTTTAATCCCAATTAATCTATGAGATTCCAAACAAAGTGATAATTCTGTTTCCTCTATTGTGATTTTGTGGCATCGAACAGTTATTCGTGATATCACTATTAGTAATTTTATCATAATTATTCTACACCCAGATTTAGATTTGTTAATACATCAATTTAGCTAATTCCAGCATCACTAACAATAATCTTCAAATAACCACACATTTATTGTAAATCAAATCTCAAACAACAACACTGCACCAATGAGTAATTCATAGATTAATGCAAAACAATAAACTACTCAAAACTGAATTATAATTTTATTTAAGCACAAAAAGATCTTACTGAGAAATAAATGTACCTCACATTTCAAGAGTTAATAGAAAACGTTATGAGGAGTAAAGTTGTCTAAGACTGGAGAGTTGGGGAAGAGTTTTCAGCTATCAGGCTGAAGATCAGTGAAGCCGGGTGTTTAATAATCATTGCTGCATAGTGCATAGGCCGCTCCACTTTTGGCGGCGTTTTATTTTGGCAGCTCTTTTCATTTCAGTAGAAAATTTAATATTTCTTCTTTTTAGTTTTCTGTAACATAACTGCAAGTGGTACTAGAAATGCGTATAAATGTAATGATGTTTGCGTAGATGGATTTTAAAAATCTATTTCTTAAAAGTTGTCAAGTGTTTAAATCGTAAATTACAACGTCATGTGTAAAAACTACTAACTTTTTGAATGTATACTTTAACTTCTATTATTTTACCTCATAGAGCTTTAAAATGTAGTATGATATAAATAATAGCCTATGATTATTAATATTTTTAAAAGGAAAAATAAAATCATTAGTTGAAACACATTCAATATTTAACAGGAAACCAATTAAAATTGTAAATGATTATTTACCTCTGTTAAATCAGCAATCCAATTAGTGGAAATTAAAGTCCAGTTTGCTTTAGTTAGCTATCGGGCATTGAATAAACGATCTAGTCCTATTTATTACTCATTGTGTTCCATCTGAATAAATATTCTCAACAAGATGAAGTTCAGAAATCGAATAAAAAGCTTTCGTAAATAAGTTGGTTTCTTTTGTATACTGACTCTAATCAAATCTATTGTACAATTGTCGTATTTATCTATAAAACAATTTTAAGTAGCTATTTATTTGCTGAATATTCGTATTTCATTTCTCATCCAGTCGAAACTAATCTATAATGCAATATGGCAAATGTATGCAAATATCTTTTCCATTAACAAATTATGGACAATTACTCAGTAGCTATGGTAACCATACCCCCTCCCCCACACCACCATCCCATAACAACAACCACAAAGGGCATAACAGTAGCAGTGGGCCCCGATGGGCAACCATCACGACTAATTTAATTCGAATTCAAAGAGTAAACGTTTGTAAAACTTAATGTATATTATTGAACAATTATTTATGCATATAATTTAAATTCACATAAATATATTTTGAAATGTCAAAATCTATTGGTTCATAAATTAACACTGTAGGGCTTTCAAGATCTAAATGATTTTAAAACGCAATATTATAATACTCTTTAGCAATTTAAAAATAAATTGACAATTGTGCAGTGCTTATATTTCAATTAGAAGAAATACGTACTCACTAATATTGATGAGGGTGATTTACTTTGATATTACTATCCGTTTTCACATGTTAACAATGTTTTTGCAAGGCATAATATATTTATCATTATATATATTTATCATGTATTATATATTTATCATTTTGCTTTTGAATATATGTATAGGTTTAGTTTAAAGAGGATGCTATGTACAGGAAAAAGAAAATGTTTATGTTTTTAAATCGAAATTGATATGATTGGAGTTTGAATAGTTTATTACTCTTTTGTCTGTGTTTATACACTGTGTGCTTCCTTTTTAATCAGCTTCTGTATTAAACAAATAATATCTTCCTTACAAATATTAGTTTCTACTGACAGATATTTATTAAATTTTTCAATACATTTTTAAAATCAAAGCTACGTACCGGCGAGTTAGTAGGTATTTGTAATAAACGCAAGGAGATAAATTAAATCAATTTTACATCATTTTAATTCATACACACAAATAGATTATAGGGAGTAAAATTGTATTATTCGTTATGTTCAAGAGCTACTGTACCGACTGTCCTTATTGTAAAAGACACTAAATTAAACAATGGAGTTATGTGTATTAGTTAAACCCCATATTGAGAAGTAATGTTAACGTAGTATTTAGTAAAACCTAGGTACTTGACAATTGTACTTTTTTAATGTCAGGGTCCTCAGAAGACATAAATTAAATTTATCCAAAATCCTTCTGTAAATAGTTATGGTTGTGAAATAAAAGTTAAAGTAGCAAAATATTTTAAACTTAACTGTCATATATGCTACTTTTCATATGTCACAATATTATTACCTTATTTTAAATCAACATATTGCATTGCATAAACAATATTCACATTAATGGACTTCACAGCAAAACCTTTACAACGGAAACAAAACATTTGCTGATTGAACGCAGAATAAAAGCCGGAGGGAAATGAGTTTGCGAAATTAAAACGCTGCGAAATCGAGACAACTCGTTGTAAATGTATGAGCGTAGTAGCCAAAGTTGGTAACAAACCGACTCGTTTTGAAGCTGTTATCAAAACCGTTACTTTGTAACTTGGTGTTGCTTTCATGTGACAGGCTGTTATTTAATAGTGAAAATAGCATACAAGTTGTGTTCCGTTAATTTAATACTCGTAAAGTTTTTTTTAAGTACGGGAGTTTTGTAACATGTTAACAGTATGGTTTGTGCTGACATATTTTGTTCGTGTTAAAGGGTAAAGCATATTTTGTATCTTTGAATTCAGAATTATGTATGGATGTATCTATATTCAGAATAATTAATAAACTGACATATATAATGTATTAAAAAGTGTCTTTTATTGCTTGCTTAAGTTTGTTTTGAAATCAATCAATTTATTAGTTCTGTTCTCTCCCCCGAGGAAGTATATTTCTAGGGGTACGTTTAAAGTAAGATGCAATGATTTATAATGTTTTTCATACCAAATTGTCGCATGTATATGTGCAAAAAGCAATGATAATCAAAGAGAGTTACTTAAAAACACTAGTTTCATTGAAATCTTTTTATTTTACTAATATGAGACCTGAATTTAGATTTTTTTATCAATGTATTTGATCATCGAATACTTATGGAACATTGCTACAATTGGAATAAAAATGCATCCAAACAAATACACTGTAAACAACTAATTAATTAGAACATTAATTAGTTAAAGGAACTTAGGCCGAATCCTAACAGAAATATGAATTACGTTTAAGTGTACTTTCTAATCACACAAACAATACCCTGCGAAAATCTCGCTCATTAGATAAAGGTTAGTTTTCTTTAGAACCATTGCTCTTTGAACTTTAAAAGATAGATTTGCATCACAAAATAAAACAAAAGTTGAGTCACTAAGGGTTTAAAAGAGGTTGTTACCTCTAGTTTTCTCGTCGTTGCTTCATTTTAATCTAAATTAAAACATACCTCGTCTTGCAGTTCAAATAAATAGTGTATTTTTCAATCCACTACATGTTTCGCCATGTTGGCATTTTCAAGTGGTATACACAGAAACATTGAGACTTGAAACATTATAATATCCGAATTGGACTCGTCAAATTGTAGAAATTTACATATAAACACAAAACTGTACATACATTTGACACATACGAACGAAACATTATCATGTAGGCCTACATGACATGATAATGTTTCGTTCGTACGTGTCAAATGTATGTACAGTTTTGTGTTTATATGTAAATTTCTACAATTTGACGAGTCCAATTCGGATATTATAATGTTTCAAGTCTCAATGTTTCTGTGTACCACTTGAAAATGCCAACATGGCGAAACATGTAGTGGATTGAAAAAGACACTATTTATTTGAACTGCAAGACGAGGTATGTTTTAATTTAGTTTATACTAAGCAGTTCAGGGGCTACAAAATGGAATTTAATTCATTTTAATGACTTTTACTAAATGTTATCCTTATCAAATCATTTAAAATCAATTTTTCTCTTACCCGTCTATTTGTAGAACAGTTTTTAATGGGTAGTAAAATATAGTAACCAAGCATATTAAAAATGTGCAGCAGCAGTTAACGCTAATACGCCTTCAACACGAAACAATAATGTAAGTAGTAATAGTAATGTAACGTAAATTCTTTAAGAGTATTCGAAAGATCGTCCAAATCCCATTATTTATCTTGATAAGATTTATTGATCGGAAAACTAAGTAGTCAATATTATTATTGGTAATACTATTATTACCAATAATATTATTATTATATTAACAATAATATCATTGGAAATGATTTTTTTGTGTACTGAATTCAATTCACGCAGAAACATCAGGATAAAACGTTATAAGGAAAATTGATCATAATTTTATTTTAAATTAATTTGAGTTTGGATCCCATAAATATGATGGATACTAGATTTTCTCTATGAAATATACAGAGTGGCCAACTTCAACCAGGACAAACTAGGACTTACCAACATTTTGATATTTTAAATTATTTATCTGTGTTAATTATTTTTTTTACATGGGTCTCTTCTACTTAAACATGCATACACATTTTCATAACGATCAGTTGGAACGGTACAAACATAAAATGTTTATGGAAAAAAACACAAAATGGCGGATATTTGGTTAACGAAGCGATTTTGGAAAAAGTTTCATACTTAATATTCTCTTCATTTTGACCTATAGAGTCAATTCCTAGAGTTTAATTGTACCAGTTGATGGTAGGCACCCTGTATATTATCACTAAAGTTGATTTTTATTTTATTTTATGACCAATATCTGTGGAACGCTTATAGTAATCCTGAAAAAGGCACTTTAAACATTTTATGAAATTAACACGAGACTCAGAAATTTACACTCAAAAGACAAAAAAATTCTTTGCAATGATGGTGGTCTGAATTACTGTAAAACGTTGTCAGGTTTGTCTTGACTGTAGTTATGTTCACAGAATATGTCAATCCATTAATGAGAAAAAATTATTTTGTTTAATTTAAATGATGGAAAACTTAGAT